TTCTTCTACCACCCCTTGGTTTGCAAACATTGTTAATTTTTTAGTTGCTTCTTTTTTTCCTCCCTTAGCATCACGAGCTCAAATTGATAAAATTAAGAGTGATGCTAAGCATTATATTTGGGATGACCCCTATTTGTGGAAGTTGTGCAGTGACCAGGTGATTAGGAGATGCATACCAGATCATGAGATCGCTTTGGTCTTGCAATTTTGTCATTCTTTCACACCAAGTGGCCATCTAGGCATTTAGAGGACAGCTCGCAAGGTGCTCGATTATGGTTTCTATTGGCCCACCATTTTCAAAGATGCGTGGAAGATTTGTAGCACTTGTGAGCAGTGTCAGCGAGCAGGAGGATCCCTTACATGGAGACAACAGATGCCTTAGTAGCCCATGCTATTTTGTGAGGTGTTTGATGTCTGGGGTATTGATTTCATGGGTCCCTTTCCTGTTTCTTTTGGTTTTTCCTACATTCTTTTAGTTGTTGATTATGTTTCAAAATGGGTGGAAGTCAAACCCACCAGAACTAATAACGCTCGGGTTGTTGTGGATTTTGTTAGATCTCACCTATTCTGCAAGTTTGGAGTACCTAGAGCTATTGTTAGTGATCAGGGCACCCATTTTTGTAACAGATCTATGCAGGCTTTGCTCAAGAAGTATGGGGTAGTGCATAGAATTTCTACACCCTACCACCCCCAAACCAATGGGCAAGCTGAAATTTCAAACAGGGAGATCAAGAGAATCTTAGAGAAGATTTTCCAGCCCAACAGAAAAGACTGGAGTAACAGATTGGATGATGCTCTTTGGGCGCATAGGACTGCCTACAAAGCACCCATAGGGATGTCTCCTTATCAGGTTGTCTTTGGCAAGGTATGTCATTTACCTGTTGAGATTGAGCATCGGGCCTACTAGGTTGTGAAGACCTGCAACTTCTCTATTGATCAGGCTGGTGAAGAAAAGAGGTTGCAACTAAATGAGCTTGATGAGATCCCCTTGGAAGCCTATGAGAATTCAAAATTCTACAAGGAGAAAACCAAGAAGTTCCATGACAGCTTGATAACTAGGAAGGACTTCGTGGTTGGCCAGAAAGTTCTATTGTACAATTCTCGGCTCGGACTCATGGGTGGTAAGTTACGATCAAAGTGGATTAGACCTTTTGTTGTTACTAATGTTTTACCTTATGGTACAGTTGAGATCAAAAGTGAATCCACAGATAAGAGCTTTAAAGTCAATGGGCACCGGCTAAAGCCATTCCTTAGCAATCCATCTTTGTTGGATGTTGTTGTAGAGGAGATGTCTCTGCTTGACCCTGCTTCTCTCCTACCATGATTTAAGGAGTTTTCTTTTTTCTTCTCCTTCTTTACTTTTATTGCACTTGTCCAGATTTATAGATTGTTCTGATTGCTCTGATCTTCTGTTTGTGCCACATTGGGACAATGTGTAGTTTTAGTGTTGGGGGGGACTGTTTTGGTTATATGCTTTTAGGGTTTATTTGTTATTTTTGGTTTAGGTTTTATGTTTAGTTGTTATGTACAGTTTTGCATGTTTCTCTTTGATTTCTGGGTTTTGATAGTTTGTAGGCACTTGCTTCACTCTTGGATATGAGTTACTTGATGTTATATGGATTGAAACCCCTGTCTTTCTCTGCTCGGCAAGTTGATTATGAGGTTTGAGAGGTTAAATTGAATGTGACAGATTTACCCTGTGTGAGATTTTGACCCCTTCTATGTTCTTTCTTATGTGTTTTTCCTCTTGATTGCTTGCACAATATTCTTGGCTTGACTCTGTTTGATATTTCTTGGTCCACATGCATGTTTGGAAAGGATTAAGGCATTTTGATTCTCATAAGCCTCTAGCCAAATAAGCCTACCTTGAATTAACTCCTCTAATAACCCCTGCTGAGACTATTTCCCCTTCTTTATTTGAAGCTCATTACAAGCCTTAAGCAAAAAACCATGATTACCTTAACCTTAGGGAGTTTTGGAGCTTTGGAATTATTTTGGGAATAAGTTCTTGAATAAGTGTGGGGGTGTGTGTATGTTTCATTGAATGATGTATATAGGCTAGTTGATTCCTTATGTTGTGCATTTTACTTCTCTGCATGTTATCTTATCTCATTTCAAATTTTCGTGTGTACTGTTCACTACATACTGTTCGTTTAAAAAAATATAAAAAAAAATACAAAAAAAAACAAAAAAAAAATGAAAAAGAGAAGTTGTTTGAGGCAAGAGAAAGAGGATTGATCATCATAGAGTAAGAGAATTACAAGACCGTGATGAAGCTGAGGCAATTGAAAGCACATTTGGTTAGAGCACAGGAGCGGATGAAGAAGCAAGCCGATAAACACCGAATTGAGAGGAGGCTATTGGGAATTATAAGGCTGAGAGTGGGCTCCCAATGGGATTAGAAGATGATCATGCAGAACTAATGCAACTAGAATTGGTTCTGGCTTCTCGCAGTTTAATGAAGGGAGGGACGACGAAGACGCTGACGGAGGAGACGCCGCCGCAGATCGCCGTCTTACTCATTCCGAAGGTTCCGATGGCGAGGGTGGCGTGGCCGAATACGACGACGAAGAAGAATTGGAAGAAGAGGAAGAGGAGGAGGAGGAGGAAGAAGAAGAGTTGGAAGAAGAGGAAGAGGAGGAAGAAAGAGGTGGAGCGGAAGGAGGTGTGAATGGCACAGTGGTTAAGGATTCTGATGTTGATGCGAAAGCCCCTTTGGAAGAATCAGGGAACGGGGATGAGGAGGAAGAAGAGAAGAAGGAGAATGAACCCTTTGCGGTTCCCACTGCTGGAGCATTTTATATGCACGATGACCGCTTCAGGGACAATGCCGGTGCACGCCATAGGTATGTGTCTGTTTCACTAAATTCTTGCATAAATTGTGTGTAGTATTAAGTGGTTGATGAAACAATTTCTTTTGTTTTGTTATTACTTTTCTGTTTGTTAGGCGCATGCGTGGTGGAAGGAGACTGTGGGAGTCCAAGGATGACAGGAAATGGGGGCATGATAAGTTTGAGGAAATTACTTTGCAAGAAAGGCACTACAAAGAGGTAATGATTGATTTTGTTAATATGTAATATTAGTATTTTGTTTTTGCTTATTGAAGTGGAAGAAGAAACGGTGCTTATGCATTTATTATTAAATTTAGGGAAGGAGACCTTCCAAGGGTAATTTTCGAGGCCGAGGTGGTAAAACACGAGGTGTTGATCGCAGTGGAGGAGGATATGTTCGAGGTAATAACAGAAAAGTATATGATAATAGAGGCAGTCAGACTCAGGCACCAAAGAGTGTTGTGCGAGGGAGAGGACCCCGGAGGTACGAGCCTACTAATAAAAGCAATGATTCATCATCCCTGGTGCAAAATAAACAGTGAGTATAGACTTTGTATTTTGTAAGATTAGTTGGATTTGTGATACCTATACATGTTAAGGCTTTCTGATTCTGATCAAGACTTTGTGTTGTTATTTTTTAAGATCTGGGAAGCAGCCTGAGAAAACATCACATGTTAGTTCAGGGAAAACTTTCGCTCCAGTCTCCAATTCAGATCCTGAACCAGTGGCTGCTAAGAAACAAGTGTTTGCATCAAATTTGAATTATGCATCTCCCCCTTTTTACCCTTCAAGTTCTTCCAACAAAGATATAAATGTGACACCAAAAGGGGATGTCCAAACTGGTGGTATAAGCAGTAATGTTCGCCCTGGTGTTGTGGATGAGGGTTTTTTGGTTCAACAAAACAATGCACTTCTTCGTGGAAAGAATGTTGTTGATCATGTCAGCATGGAAAAGCTGTACATTGATGGGCCTGGTGCTCCGCCTGTTGGAAAGGGTTTTAACAATTTACATATTCCACCAGCTGGATCATCTGGAGTTAATGCCTCTCAGTCTACTCATCCAAGAGGTCCTGGGAGGGGTGGAGCAGTACCAGTACAGATGAATTATCAGCCTGCTACTTCTCTTAATCAAGTAAGTAAAATTGATCCGACACAACTCCAGGCTATTCAGAGAACTGCTCCAGTGCGAACTTCAAATTCTATGCAAGCACCTGCTCCACAGTTGGGTCATCGACCTGGTAGTGGGTCTCAAGCTTCATCTCCCCCCAAAACATCCGCCACAATTAGTTCACTGGATTCTGGAGAAATTGATGCAGCTTCAGATTCGGGTAAAGTGAAGGGTGCATTGGTTGGGAAGGGAAGGGGAGCTTCCCAGGGTGGTGGAAGGGGATCTTTTGTTTATGGTGGAGCTATGGGCACTGCTGGAAATATCAGTGGTGGTCATGGAGATCAGAACTTTCCAGCCTTCTTGCCAGGTCAGTTTTATTTAACTGTTTTCTTGATAAGCATCAACAGTGCCTACGTAGAGGAAAATTTGAATCCAATTATAATGCAGTGTTCTCTTGCATATTAAGTGGAAGTAGTGTAGTCTGTGAAAAGTCAAGTAGTTATGTTATTTACTATGTTTTTGGTGGGAGACAGTTATGCAATTTGGAGGGCAGCATCCTGGTGGTATTGGAGTTCCTGCTGTTGGCATGGCATTCCCTGGATATGTTGCTCAGCCACAACTTGGTTTGGGAAACTCTGAAATGACATGGTAAGGATGTTACTGATAGAATTTTATTAGACTCTGGATAATATGTAGTGCTAATTATGTGTCCAAATCACTAGTTTCAACTTTTAAGTGCCTTTGATATGGTTGAAATCTCCTTCTCCCTGAGTGTGTGCATCTATGGATGGTCCACACTTGCAATTTTCTTAAGATCACTATAGTCGATATGATATTTAACTACTCTAAGAATTGAATTATCTTTACACTCAGGTATTGCTTTTAGTTCCATTTTGGAACACTATTTAATTAATTCCTTTTTTGGTTTAGGCTACCAGTTTTGACTGGGGCAGCAGGAGCTTTAGGGGCAGCCGGTGCTTTAGGAGCTACTTACTGTCCACCCTATCTCACTGTTGATGGTGCTTATCATGCCCGACAATCAGGACAGACATCTGCAACAGCTACTTCAAGGTTGGTACTTTAATAGCTTTGATATGATTTCATATAATTTTACTTCAAATTGCATGTCTTGGTTTTATTTTATATTCTATAGTATCTATATATATGTATTGTTGGATGCATATCTGACATGTTCTAAATGGCTGTTGCATTTATTTGATCTCCATGTTTAACTAACAAAGTTTGGCACAAATACTGTTATTTATATTTTGTTTCAATATTACAATGAAATGACTTTTGACGTGCTTTTCTAGCTGCCATGCTAGCTTTTGATGATGCGGTAGTTTTTAGTCAGTTTTATGATTTCTGTTTCCTTGATTGAATCTTTGCAGCAAGGAAAATAATGTGAATAAAGCTAACAATGAATGGAAGCCACCACAGAAATCTGGTGAGACATTGATATTCATTTTCCATTGATATTGTTTACCCATTGCCATTGAATGTTAATAATTTTCTTTTTTGGAATTGATCTGCCTTCAGAGCCTGTAAATGATGAGTTTGGACAGCGGCAAAATAAGCCCCGCAGGCAAGTTGTTTGCAAAAACATTTTTGTTAGTCATTTTAATGAATTGAGTGTTATTTTTCTTTAGATTCTTGGGGTAAAATACCTGTTGGGGTACATTTTTTTTTTAATTAAATCAACACAATCTCAATGAATGTTAGTTATGTTCCTTGCAGATACTCAGAGATGAATTTTGGGCAATGAAGTATTATATAGAATGCAGCTTGTTTGAATAAGAAGATAAGGTTTGTTATTTTCCCCGCATATTGCACTATTTCTCTTAATAACGTTACAATATTCTTACTTGTCATTATATTTGTTTTGTAGGCCTTCTTCCTCCTGGTCCTTTGTTCTCCGGCTTTTGTTCTGGAGTACTTTGGGCACAGCAATATGTTTCAAGAATTTTTAGGTGATTACAGAATGTGTTCTCGTTGCTAGTATTTTTAAGCTATTGTTTCTGGTTCCCTCATGTATGTTTTGGGATTGCTTGGCCTCGAGTATAATACACTGATGCACTTTTTTCTCCCCATATTCATTTTGTGTCATTGCAGTTATATAACGCCTGTTCATGCTGTTCTCCATTTAAAGAAGTTAATTGCAGCATGACAGGTGGTAGTTGCTTGTGTAATTGTGCGGTAAGTATAAATAAATTTGCAGTTGATGTCCTTGTAATCGAAGCTGAGGAAATTATGACAGTTGTTAGCTTCTTTGCAGATTTTTCTTGCGTTCTGCTTTCGTGAAGCTCGTGAGAAACATAGGCAGGCTTTTCTACCAACTATGAATGTGAGAAAAGAACGATGATTGTTTTGCAGCAACTGATTGCTCGTGGAGTTGAAAATTTCTTGTGTAAATGCTTTTCATATTCATCTGCTATGGACTTGTGGTAAATTATTACGAGACGTGAATAGTGTAATCCTTTTTGAATTCAAAATTCAATTTTAAGTGTTTTCGATTGAGTGGTTTTGTTCTTGAATTTATTGTTTCTTCTATTGAGAATTGAGACTTGAGACTTGAGACTTGAGACTCATACTTCCGTGTTTATCAAGGGAATATAGTATTGTTACCAAGGACAGGTTTTGTATTCGATGAAAATGATGCTTGGTTTTAATTGTTACTCTATTTTGGTTTATCAGAGACTTGGCTGAAATTTATTTACTTTCCTTTTAAATGTATTGATTTTACTTCTCTCCATTTTTTTATTAATTTATGGTTCTGCTGATTATAAATTTTAATTTTTTTTTATCGTAATTTGTTCATGGCGTGCCCTGTATTTAGATATTATTACGTGCTAAATTATAATGATGTTTCACGTGAAATAGTTAAATATTTGTAGAAACTAAAAATTTAGGTCTTTCGAGATTTAGTTTATAGTTGTACTTTTATAAATTGACCTTTGATGATTTTTTCCTTCTTTTGGCATCAGAAATATAGAATAAACAAAGGCTTCATTGTTTAGTGAAAATGTTTTAACATTTTGTTTTTACTGATAATTATAAAATGTCATTGTAATGTATTTTTTTCCTCCACTATATTGTGCAAAGGTGTTCATCATCCTCTTATTTTTTTTAATAATTCCTTATACAATTGCACTGTAATCAGAAATGATTAAACCACGAAAATTCGCTTCTAGAAAATTTCTAATTGAAATATCCTATCATGAAAACAAAACATTATTTTCTAATGATAAACGATTAACTAAAATTAAAAATACAAGATCAGTAATGCATAAAAAATAGGTATACCATATCGCTGAATTTATCGCATAAACACTTTTGCCGAATGAAATGCATAAAAAAAAAGTAGTATACCGTCCACGCTGACAATTTACAGGAGATGTTACCAAAAATAAAATATAGTTTCTGAAAGTGAAGATTGATGTTGTAAGTTAATTTGTAATTTATTTTATTATAGTATTAGTGCTTGCCAGTCACAAACTCGTCCGATGTAAAATTGAATGGTGTGATTGTCTCTTTCAATTGGTAGATAGATATCTGCAATTTATATAAAGTCTATGGTAACCTCAATTAAATTTCACCTGGAATAGCAAAAGCGTAAATTTTAAATTTGCCATTTTAATATAAAGTCTATGTTATCAGTCATTTGATGCCTTTTTTCTTTCATTTTTTCCTTTTTTTCCTTTTTTTTCTTTCTCTTTTGCACCAAAAAATAGAGTTTTTTACTCAAATAATATATTTTTAAAAAATATTTATCCAAATAATAACTGTACAAATTTATTTCTCCAACTAGTACTATTTACTGTTTACGTATTTTTAATTTTTTTTTAATTATTCAATCTATGTTTAATTTGGATTTTGATTTCTTAATTTTAATTCTTCCATTTATAAAATTTATAATTTTGATTCACTATTAAAATTGTAAAGTCTACTAGGACTTGACGTTAAATAAAAGTTATAATAATTTATATTTAATAATATTCTGAGTAAATTTTATTTTTATTTTATAATAATAAAAATATGAAAATAAGATTAAAAAGTATAACTTACTTTAAATATTAATTGTCATATGTTATTTATTCAATATAAGATTATGATCAACCTATCCGTTAATGAAAATAAGTATTTATCTGTTAGATTTTAGTTAGAAATTTCATATAGTTGGAGTTAAAATTGTAAAATTAAAATTAAAAAATTAAAGTGGCAGATTAAATATTATGAGAGATAATAGTGCAATTTAGAGAGATGATAATTTTGAATACTTGAGTGAAAAATAATAATTTAACTGTGTTCTCATTATTAATTAAATATTAGAATCCTAGAGAGATGAGTTCCTCACTAATTGGATAAGAGAATGCAAATTCAAAAAACTGAAAAGTGATAAGGTGTGAGCAAGGCCAAACGCCATTAAAGGCCGTTAGATTGATCGAACGGTAAGATTATTTGTTTGAGAGCCCACGTCGGTGCATTGCAGTGCAGCGAGAGTAAAATAGAGAAAGTTGGCACGTGTGGCACGCACGTGCTACTATCATTTTCTCTGAGTTTCAGACTCAGACCTTGTAGTTGTATCTCTCTCTCCCACTCATACCTCGTCACAGTGACAGTGCCAACTCTCTCTCTCTCTCTCTACGTGTTGAAAGCTTAGCTCAGTGATGAAGGACCAACTTCAAGAATCACTCTTTCAAATTCAATCTTAATGAAGCACAGATCTTTAGCCATCCATGTAATGCCTCTCTCTTCTCTTTTCTCTTTTTCTTCGTTAAGTAACTTTACCTTCTTTATTTCTTCCCCAAATATGAGTTTCCTTTTTGTTTTGGAATACATTAATAGAAACCAAACTCTGTTACGTATCACTTAAAATTACTTTTTCTTTCTTTTGTTTTGGATGAATTATGATGGAGAAATTTATCTTTCTTGTTTTTATAGCTTACTTCTTTCTTGTGGTGAATTCAAAAAACTACTGTTCGATCTTGAAGGCTTTTCTTTTGGTTGAATTTCGAGTGGCAATTATTCCTAAAAGGGGATAGTGTAAGGTCTCTCTAGTGATATGATAGTTCAGGAAAATAATGGAGGAAAGCATCAATACAGGGGAATTTCAGGCTAATTTGGCTAAACCCTCTTCATTGAGGTTAGGTGGAAGTTTTAAATCAACATTGTCTGGAAGATCTCCGAGAAATTCCCCTTCATTTCGGCGACTGAATTCCGGCCGAACGCCAAGAAAAGAGGGAAGGAGCAGTGTAGGTGGTGCACTGTGGTTTCGGAGCAATAGATTACTTTTGTGGTTGCTTCTAATTACCCTCTGGGCTTATCTTGGATTCTTTGTTCAGTCTAGGTGGGCTCATAGTGATAAGAAGGAGGAATTTTCTGGCTTTGGAACCGGGCCAAGGAACACCAACTCTGATGCTGAACAGAGTCAGCGCCGTGATTTGATTGCTGGTGATAATTCCTTATCTGCTGATAATGAAACTGTTGCAAACATAGCAGGGTTTAGTAAAACTATGAATGTAGCTTTGGCCAAGAAAGATAATGATGTTCCATCTCGTCGTAAAACAAGCTCAAAGAAGAGAAGCAAGAGCAGACGTGCTTTGAAAGGTAAATCACGTGGCAGGCTGAAACCAATTACAGTAGTTAAGAACAGTGATATAGAGGAGCAGGAGCCAGAAATTCCTACAACCAATAGTACATATGGATTGCTTGTTGGTCCATTTGGCTCAGTGGAGGATAGGATACTGGAATGGAGTCCTGAAAAGCGTTCTGGGACATGTAACAGGAAGGGGGACTTTGCACGTCTGGTTTGGTCCAGAAGATTTATCTTGATATTCCACGAGCTTTCCATGACTGGAGCTCCACTTTCAATGATGGAGTTGGCAACTGAGCTTTTGAGCTGTGGGGCTACTGTTTCAGCTGTTGTGCTTAGCAAGAAGGGTGGTTTGATGTCAGAGCTTTCTAGGAGACGAATAAAGGTGCTTGATGATAAAGCAGATCTCAGCTTCAAAACTGCAATGAAGGCTGATATTGTCATTGCTGGTTCAGCTGTCTGTGCATCATGGATTGGTAAGAACATATTGGTGACATTTACTTATGTACTATTGTAGCTTTTAGTGTTATAAGGATGTCGAAGAAATGTGCTTGTTAGGTTATAGCTACATCAAAGGGAAGATTAAAATAAATTTAATGTGCTTTGAAGGACTATACTAGTCTTCTGGATACACATTGCAACAATTTCAGAGGCTTAATTCTACATCTCATACTAATTCTGGAATTATTAGTATTTAGACTTTTACTTTCAAACTTATCATACAATGATACAATATTTATAACTTGAGTGTCTCATTAATAGGCATTGGAGTAGGATCCTCACCATGCCTCGCTTCCTGCATATATGTATAACTTACTAACCTCTTAATCATTTTTGAATAATTGGAAACCGATAAGACAAATGAGTTTGATAATACATGAAGGTATGCATATTGGTTATTTCGTTGATTGGGATCTTCTACCATTATCAAGTTGAAAAGCTTGGTAGTTGGTATATATCATGGTGGTTTTTAATTTGTTAATGTGAGTTTGCAATTCATCTCTTCTACATTTCTTAATAGAAAATTATTATTTTTTTATTTGTTTCCAGAACAATATATTGAACATTTTCCAGCTGGTGCAAGCCAAGTTGCTTGGTGGATAATGGAAAATCGACGCGAGTACTTTGATCGTTCAAAGGATGTCTTGCACAGAGTAAAGATGTTGGTTTTTCTTTCTGAATCACAGTCTAAGCAATGGCAAAAATGGTGTGAAGAGGAAAGCATAAAACTGAGATCCCAACCTGAAATTGTTCCATTGTCTGTTAATGATGAACTGGCGTTTGTTGCTGGTATTCCTTCAACACTTAACACACCATCCTTTAGTACTGAGAAAATGGTTGAGAAAAGACAGTTATTGCGAGAATCAGTCCGAAAAGAAATGGGCATAACTGATATTGATATGCTTGTGATATCTCTTAGTAGCATCAACCCTGGGAAGGGCCAGCTATTGCTTCTTGAATCGGCAATCTCAGTACTTGAACAAGGACAGTTTCAAGAAGATAAGAAAATGAAAAAAGTATCAAATATAAAGGAAGGCCTATCTACCCTGGCCAAAAGACATCGTATTAGAAAATTGTTGCCGTCGCTGAAGAATGGCAAAGTAGCTTCGAATAATATCTCGAGCAATTCTTTAAGCAGGTTAGATGAATCTCATAATAAATTTTTATAACTTGTGGTTATGTAGTATCCAATTTTTATATGTTGCACTGATTATGAAAACTTTGACACAGAAGGAAACAAGTGTCGCCTAATGACAAAGGAACAATGCAACAATCTCTCAAACTACTCATTGGTTCTGTTGGATCAAAGAGTAACAAGGTGGATTATGTTAAAAGCCTTCTAAGTTTCTTAGAACAGCATCCAAACACCTCGAAATCAATTTTGTGGACTCCAGCCACAACACGGGTTGCCTCACTTTACTCTGCTGCAGATGTTTATGTTATAAACTCTCAGGTAGGTCATGATTAAAGGTTAAATTATTTGTAAAGTGGTGTGTAAAAGGCTTATACATACATATATAGATGTAAGTATGCTTATATATAAATATTACATTTTTTCCTTATTTTGTTTGAGTATGCATCTGTTTATGAATTCAGTTTACACTGACATCCTTACAGCTCCAAATAAAGCTATTAAAAATGACAAAATTGTTTTATTATGTTGGAAATATTATTAAGATAATTGCTGAAACCGCAGATTCCAGATATAACTGCATTTAGGGTTGCAAATTAATGGTAGAAATATTCTATTAATGTGCAAAGCAGTTCCTAATCAGCAAAGTTGTAACAGGGACTTGGAGAAACATTTGGAAGGGTGACTATAGAAGCGATGGCGTTTGGTCTTCCGGTATGTATGACTATATTTTCTCCTTAAACTCGTCATAAGATAATTGTTAAAATATATGCCTTATGGTATGCATGACTATATTTTCTCTTTAAACTCTTCATAAGATAATTGTTAAAGTATATGCCTTCTGGTAACAATTTGGGTCTAGTTATAAAGAAGCTGCAATTGGATTAATAATTTTTGTATTACTTATTCAGTGAAAGTAGTAGTTGATAAAGATTTTGATGTCCTCACAATGTTCATTAGGTCCTCGGAACTGATGGTGGGGGAACAAAGGAGATTGTTGAGCACAATGTTACAGGTCTTCTTCATCCTACCGGGCATCCAGGGAACCAAGTTCTTGAGCAGAATATGCGGTTTTTACTCAAAAACCAGTTGGCAAGGAAGCAAATGGGAGTGGAAGGAAGAAAGAAGGTGCAGAGGATGTATTTGAAGCAACACATGTATAAGAAATTTGTAGAGGTTATTGTTAGGTGCATGAGAAGCAAATAAGTGCCTACTTGCAATGCAATGCTCCCATTCTTTTATTCCATTGCACTACTGTTAGTTTCTTTGTACTGCTACTGAGGCCAATTTATGACAAAGTTTACCAGCTCCTTTGTTTTTTGAAAAATAATTTTTTAATGGAAACGAATTTTTCCAAAAACACTTATACGAGAGTAAAAATAAGAAAGAAAAATAAAACAATTTTTTTCAAAGTTAAAATTAGTTTTATGTATAAAGTATAAACTATTTTGTAAAGTTTTATCTTATTAGTTTCTCCAAAATTTTATTTTCAACATTTCATAATTCTTATTTTATTTCTTTACTATTTTCCTTTCACTCACCTAAATATAACATTAACTCTTCATTTTCTATTGAAGTTCTTCTTCTATGACATTATAATTTCGACAGGCAATATAGCCCATACATATGTCTTTCTTCTCATTCTCCATTTTTATATTTTGTCAAATTTTATTCTTTAGCTAAATGATGAAAAAGTTAACAATAAATAAAAATATAAGAAATTAACGAAGATTCAGAAGCCTGAAAAACTATAAGAAATTGATGAAAACTAAAAAGCTACCAATTAATAAAAAATATTTTAAAAAAAGTGCATGAATTATTCAAATAATGAAATGTAAAATTTTATCTCAATAACTCAAACATTAAATAAAGCATAAAAGTGACAATATTTTTTTTTTAAATTAATGATAAATATTTTATACATGCAAAGTTGATATATACTAACCAAACACTAAATAATAATTATTCAAAAACACTAAATAAAGACAAAATAATAATTTAATTTAAAAATATATTCATTGCATCTCATAATAAGTATTATTAGTTAGAACAAGTAATAGTGATTTATGTCTTTTAATCAGGTTATCCAGAATTTAAATACTAACCTTAACTCTTGAATATGAAATAAACTATATTGGGAGGATAATATTTATTTTATATGGACTTATAGTTTTCAATGAAAATTAGTTACTACTTTTGAATAATAAATGTTATCCTAGACCTTTTTTTTTTTTACATAAATCAAGAAAAATTAATAAATAGATGAAAGGAAAGAGTAATATATTTTAACAAATTAAATTTATTTTTATTTTTAATTAGAAATTATGCAATGTAACAATATTTTTTTAAAAACAATTATTGGAGATAAAAAATAATAATAAGTAATGCTACATTTTTTTGGGTTGATAGAAACATATAATGCATTTCATAATTTCATTCATGATATGTTGCAAAATACAAAAGGAGATGTAATGAAAATCATGAAATCCATCATATAGAGTTCTTAGTTGCTCTGGTTAAATGATGAGCCACTGAGTTCACTTGCTTAGAAACTGTCTCCAATCCTATTTCTTGAACCCGTAATAATGTCTCTATAATGCTATTGCTATCGCCTCACACTCATGAGGCTTAGATATGTACGAAACGAATTAGTACTACATTAAAAAATTAAAATAACTCTTACTTTAATTTTATTTTATTTTTAACATAACACTTATCATAGGATGGGGTTAAATTTACTTTTGATTTCAACATGTTAAATAAATGATTGGGCCGAATAAGTCTAATCTGTAAATAAATCAACATTTTATTCAACACAGACGAATTTCACGTGCTAAACGAACCCTTCACATCCAATCCTATCCTATGCACCCAATTGTAATAGCAAGTAGCAAGTTCTTGGACACTTTCAACACAAGTGTAGATTATTTCATCCATACTTCTGATTATTGCTTCTTATCCCAACTTTTTCCCATTTATGTCACTTCATATCAGTATCATAAGAATGTTCAACGTAGGGAAATCCAACTTGATTTATTATTGTCTTGCTTTAAAAGAGGAAGTGACATTTATTCAAGTAAAGCTCTCAATAATTGAACGAGTATACAAAAAAAAGTGAGAAAAACGTGTATCCAAAAACTAAATATGTCGTCCAGGTCGAAATCCGACCTGCACCTCTATTCGGCAGTGGGGCGACCATGCCTACTCGGCACCAACCCGACCGAGGGCTCAGCATAGACCTAGTCGGTCATGACTCGACTCGACCTGGGGGACTCGATTCCTCTCGCCTAAAAGGACTAAGGAGACTACTCGGCATTAACCCGACTGGGTCCCCTGCGCGGACCCAGTCGGTAAGAACCCGACTAGACTTATCCCCTTTAACCTCGCGCCATCAAGATAAGAACGGTTAGGGAAATCCCTTTATTCTCGGGGCCCAAGAGGCCCATGACAACGTACCATAAAACCCAAAACCCTAGAGTTGAGAAAGGGGATTACACTTTTGAATGCTCTGGCTTTGAGGCTAGACCTAGGCAGAAACCCTAGTCCATCCCTTGGCCGAAACATTTTGTACCGTCCAGGCCGAAATCCGACTTGACCTTCTGCTCGGACAATACCCAACCAGGTTACCCGGCTACAAGCCTTCTCGCCTTACAGGCTCAAGGTTGGAAGGCAAGTGTACTGTCCAGGTTAAAATCCGATTAGGTTTTCTTCTCAGGTATTTCCCGACTATCGTATCAGGCCACAAGCCCTTTCGCCTTCTCGGCTCAGGGCTAGAAGGCAAGTGTGCCGTCCAGGTCAAAATCCGACCTGCACCTCTATTCGGCAGTGGGGCGACCATGCCTACTCGGCACCAACCCGACCGAGGGCTCAGCATAGACCTAGTCGGTCATGACTCGACTCGACCTGGGGGACTCGATTCCTCTCGCCTAAAAGGACTAAGGAGACTACTCGGCATTAACCCGACTGGGTCCCCTGCGCGGACCCAGTCGGTAAGAACCCGACTAGACTTATCCCCTTTAACCTCGCGCCATCAAGATAAGAACGGTTAGGGAAATCCCTTTATTCTCGGGGCCCAAGAGGCCCATGAACGACGTACCATATAACCCAAAACCCTAGAATTGAGAAAGGAGATTACACTTTTGAATGCTCTGGCTTTGAGGCTAGACCTAGGCAGAAACCCTAGTCCATCCCTTGGCCGAAACATTTTGTACCGTTCAGGCCGAAATCCGACTTGACCTTCTGCTCGGACAATACCCAACCAGGTTACCCGGCTACAAGCCTTCTCGCCTTACAGGCTCAAGGTTGGAAGGCAAGTGTACTGTCCAGGTTAAAATCTGATTAGGTTTTCTTCTCAGGTATTTCCCGACTATCGTATCAGGCCACAAGCCCTTTCGCCTTCTCGGCTCAGGGCTAGAAGGCAAGTGTGCCGTCCAGGTCAAAATCCGACCTGCACCTCTATTCGGCAGTGGGGCGACCATGCCTACTCGGCACCAACCCGACCGAGGGCTCAGCATAGACCTAGTCGGTCATGACTCGACTCGACCTGGGGGACTCGATTCCTCTCGCCTAAAAGGACTAAGGAGACTACTCGGCATTAACCCGACTGGGTCCCCTGCGCGGACCCAGTCGGTAAGAACCCGACTAGACTTATCCCCTTTAACCTCGCGCCATCAAGATAAGAACGGTTAGGGAAATCCCTTTATTCTCGGGGCCCAAGAGGCCCATGAACGACGTACCATAAAACCCAAAACCCTAGAGTTGAGAAAGGAGATTACACTTTTGAATGCTCTGGCTTTGAGGCTAGACCTAGGCAGAAACCCTAGTCCATCCCTTGGCCGGAACATTTTGGCGCCCACCGTGGGGCTACGGTAAAACTTTTCCTACGCCCCAAGAAATACAAAAAACCTACACTCTACTATGGCGAGAGGCGGCACATCCAACCACGACAACAACACCCTACCATGGAGGAGATGATGGCGTTGATCAATGGCTTGAAAGAGGAGCGCGACCCAGAGAGAGAGAAGGAGAGGAAGTTTCCCGCACAAAAATAGAGTGGGCTCTGTGTTTTCGTCGGTGTAAGGTCTTGCACCGTTGGATCGAGCTGATTTTTGGACTGTAGGTTCCAGAAATGTGGTTCTTCATTCTGACCGTTCGGATTATTAACCGGAGGCCTGGTTTGGGAGAAAACAGCTTCATATCAGTAGGTGAAAGTGTTCCAGCACAAAACAGAG